ACAGGGGAAAAACCTCAGAGAAATATGGGATAACAAACATGAGAAAATACAGGCAAAAAACACAGGAAAACACAGTAAACATGTAATAATATGGAATAATGTAGGAAAATATGGGAAAATAGGAAAATATGGGATAATATGGGATAAACATGGGGGGATACAGGAGAACATGGATGAATGTGCAGCCACAAAGGACAGAGGGACAGGGGGACCGGGGACAAGGCAGGAGCTGTAGCCTCTGTGGAGACATGGGCAGAACATGGAATAACACAGAAAATACTGGGAAAATTTGGGATAATATGGGCTAGCACGGGAGAATACAGGACATGGGTGGATGTGCCAGCACAGATCAGGGACAGGGGGACAGGCCAGGAGCCCTCCAGGGGACATGGAATAACGTGGATGACAGGGAATAGAGTGGAATAACGTAAAATAATGAGAAACAACAAGGAAAACACATAACGTGGGCTATCAGTAACACAGAGTAACACTGATAACGTTAATTAACACAGATTAATGTTGATTAACACAGGTAAAGGCGCACCACCACACGTGTCCCCAGACAACAGAGAGGACAAGGAGGTGATAAAGAGGTGACATAGGAGGTGACAGCAACATGGGGAGAGGGAGGATTGCGGTGACATTGAGGGGTGGCAGTGACAAAGGGGTTCTGGTGACACTGGGGGGTTGACAGTGAAAAGGGGGTGCTGGTGACACTGGGGGGTTGACAGTGACATGCAGGGGTGCTGGTGACACTGGGGGGTTGCTGGTGACACTGGGGGGTTGACAGTGACATTCAGGGGTGCTGGTGACACTGGGGGGTTGCTGGTGACACCCAGGGGGGTGACAGTGACAAGGGGGTGCCGGTACCTTCTTGACGATGCGCAGGCAGCGGCGCAGGAGGCACTTGGGGGTCCGGCCGGGCCCGGAGGGACCCCCGGGGGGGTTGCGGGCGCAGGCGCTGCAGATCCCGCAGTCCTCAGGGATGCGACAGGCCTGGCACGTGCCGCAGCCCACCCGCTGTGGGGAGGGGGTGTCAGAGCTCTGGGGGGGTCCCCCAAACCCCCTGAGGGATCTGGGGAACGCCCAGGGGCACCTTTTCCCCCCCTGAGAATTGGGGGTACCTTGTAGAATCGCTGCTCCCTGTTGAAGTCTCGTCTCCGGGCTGGGGAGGTGGAGGAAGGGGGTCAGGGTCACCCCAACTTTCTTGGGATCCCCCCTGACCCCACTCCCAAATTTCTTTGAGCTCCCTTCCCCCCCAGAATGGTCCAAAAGAGAGAGAAAGGGAGGCAGGGAAGAATCAGGGAGGAGGAGGAGGAGCAACGGGAAGTTCCCGAGGAAAAAAATTACAATTATGGGGTTGGAGCAATTCAAGGAATGATGATGATGATGATGACGGAGAGGGAAAAGCCCAGGGAATGAAGGACAGGAACAACAGGAAGATGAGGAAGAGAATAAAACACAAAAAGCTCTGAGAGAGCTGAGGAAGATGGGAGAAAGAGAACGAGGAGGAGGAGCATGCAGAGGATGAGGAGGAGGGCGCTGAGGCCGAAGCTCACCACGGCAGTCGGGGCAGAGCCAGCGGCAGCGGCGCTGGGGGGGCAGTGACACCCCCGGGAAGAGGCTCTGGCAGCCAGCACAAAGCCTGTGGAGGAGGAGGTGGCATTTTGGGGGGGGAGGGCAAGGGAACCCCAACACCCCCACTGCCCCCCAGGATCCCACAGCCCCGAGAGAACCCCCCTACTCTGAATTTCCCCCCAGGAACCCCCCAAACTCCCCCCAGGGATTCCAATCCCTCCCTCCTGGGGTCACCCCCTGCTCCTGGGACCCCCTCCCCACACCTGGGGACCCCCACAGCCCCCCAGGGACCACCCCCCTGCCCCACTCACGCCACCACCCCATCCTGGGGGGGCTCCAGGGGCGGCCGCTTCCGGCTCCTGCGGTGGGGGGGCTCCGGTGGGGGCGTGGCCACGGCCGAAGGGGGCGTGGCCTCGACCAGAGGGGGCGTGGCCTGGAGAGCAGGGGGCGTGGCCTGGACGACGATGGGCGGGGCCTGAACTGATGAGGGCGGGGCCTTCTCTGTCTCAGCCCCGTCCACCTCCACCTCCACCTCCACCTCCTCTTCCACCTCCTCTTCCTCCTCCTTTTTGAAGATTTTGGGGGGCTCTGGGAGGGGTCCGGCGGGCAGGTGCCATTTGGGGCTCTTCCTGGGCTGAAAGGCACAAAAGGGGGGGTCACAAGATGGAGGGAGATCCCCTTGTGAGCCCTCCCCCCTTCCAAACCCCCATTACAGCTCCTCCCCAATTTAAGGACCCTTTTTTTCCCACCCACCCCCCAATTTTGATTCATCTTAACCTCATTTCCCTCGTTTTGAGGAGCCCCTTTTATCCCATCTCTTTATTCCACCCCCATTCTTTTCCTGTTACGAGGCTCCCCTCTCAGGAGAGCCCCAGGTTTTCCTCCCCAAGGTTTTTTGGGATTTTTGTGCCCCCTCCCGTGGTTTTTAGGGTCCCATACCCGTGTGGGGCCAGGCCGCTCCAGCCCCGATTTGAAGTCGAAGTTGCTCAGGTCGTGCCCGGGGCCCAGGAACCGCCGCAGCTCGATCTTACTGCGGAACTTCTGCCCTGTGGGGCTGCCAGGGGGCTCGGGTCAGACGGGCCCCAAAACCCCCAGGAACGGCCCCAAACCCCCAGGGGAGTCGCTGAGCCTGGGGGAGCCCCCAAATGCCAAAGGGAGAATGGGAAATGGGGACGGGACAGAGCTCAGGGTACCCCAAAGTTCCCCTGCGATCTCAAAAAGGCTCCCCCGAGCCCCAGAATAGCCTGGAAAACTTGGAGGGGACTGGGAATATTTGGGGAAAGGGGAATTGAAGTGGCTGCGGGGAGCTCCTGGAGGGGGAGATGGGAGAGGGGCTCTGAAATCCCCCATGAAACACCAGCAGGGGTGGGGGGGTGTGGGATTCCTTAAAATTAGAGGGTTTGGGGGCTCGTTTTGGGGCCAAACGGACACGGGATGGGGTCTAGGATGGGAGGAGGGAGAAGGGGCAGTCCCGTAGGGATGGGCGGGGGGCGCCGGGGGTTTTTGGGGAGGGGTACCTCCTGTAGTAGGTGTCGCTGCGGCCGCTGGTGGCCCCGGATTTCCGAAAAGCTTCGCGGCGCTGCCAGCCCGGGCCCAGCGCCGGGCACTCGGCCCAGCCCTCCGCCATCCTGCGGGGGGGCTGGGACCCCCGGGAGGGGGTGGGGAGGGGGTCACGACCGGCCCCGAACACCCCCGGACCCCTCCCCCAAACACAGCCGGGCCGCGCCCCCTCCCCACGTGATTCCGTCCTCCCCTCCCCCACCGCCAGGGCCACCCCCTCCCCCACACAAACACAGCCCCGAGCCCGCAGGGACACCCCAAAACTGCCCCGCAGCCCGAACTGCCCCTCCCCAAACAGCCCTGAACCGGCCCTCCCCCTCACAAACTGCCACCAAACTGCCCCTCCCCCTCACAAACTGCCCCTCCCCTTCCCAAACAACCCCTGAACTGCCTCTTCCCCTCACAAACTGCCCCTCCCCTTCACAAACAACCCCTGAACTGCCCCTCTCCCTCACAAATTGACACCAAACTGCCCCTTCCCCTCACAAACTGCCCCTTCCCCTCACAAACTGCCCCTTCCCCGTCACAAACCGCCCCCAAACTCCCCTTCCCAGCCCCCTCCCTCACGCCCCTTTCCCCCACACGAACGCCCCCCGCCCCTTCCCCCTCAGGGCCGCCCTTCCCCACCGGCCGCGTCTCCCCGCTCGCTTCCCTCTCGCTCCCCGCTGCGGTCCCGCAGCCCGCCGGGCTCTCACCGTTCCCATCCGCCCCCGCCTGTGGCGCAGCTCTTCCTCTTCCTCCTCCTCTTCCTCCTCCTCCTCCGGCGAGGCCGCGGGGGGCGGAGGGGGCGGGGCCCCGCGCCGGAAGCGGAAACGCCGGGCGGGAAAAGCGAGGGGCGAGGGGTGAGGGTCACGTGAGGCGGAGTAAACCAATGAGAAAAGGCAGAGCCAGGGAGGGGCGGGGCGATACGCGCCCCGTGGAGCGGGGGAGGCACGTGACCGCGCGGCACGTGACGCCAGGAGGGCGGGGATATGTTAATGAGCGGTGTGTGGGCGTGGCTATGCTAATGAG